CCAAAACGAAAGCATCAGTCGCAAAAAGTCCATTAGACATTTATCTGAATAATATCTTTATCATTGTTAGAAATATGTGCAATTTAAGGAAATGTAGAATAGTATGTCATATTTGGCGCCTAACCTGTTTCAAAATAATTGCTACGGTTCTTTCTCCTTTACCTTCACTTTTTGTTTAAATTAAATTTGTTGTGACAGGAATTTAAATGTAGCGACTGTAATAAAAGTATAATTCAGCTAATAACATTTTTCTTGTCTTGTAATAACTTAATTATATGTTTATCAACGGAGTTACGATACACTCACTGAATAACATATTGCTCATTTTAGTTTATGAGCAATTTTTGTTATTTGTCGAGTTTAATTAGTTTAATATTATACACAATATTATATTTACTTATTATTAAATAAATTCAGGCCTGTCAAATTCAGACGAAATATTAAATTAATAATAAAATATAAACAAATATCATTTGATAGCAAGTTTAATCATTATATAAACTAAATAAGATGTTTAAAAATAATAATTGTATTTATATGAAATTATTTTAAAAAGAGAGGTGTCATACAAATTTAATCATATGATTCCATATTATTATTAATTGGACGAATATTTTATTGGCAGATATTCTTTTAATTTTCTGCTTCTCATTTAATAACTGTATTATATGCTTATAATAAATAGATCATGGCTAGTAAGGAATTGATTAAGGTAGTGAATCGATAATTAATATTTAAATGGGAATAAGCCACAATTAAAGGTTAAAATATGTTTATTGACGTTTCAATTTCCACTTCGGAAATTGTTCGAAAAAGTAGAAATTGAAACGTCAATATACATACTTTAACCTTTAATTGTTGCTTATTCCCATTTAAATAGTAATTACTTTAACACTTTGACTGCCATGTGTATACTGAATGTACACAGTGGCTGAGTTCCAACCGCCACGTTGGGACAAATGGGGAAAACATGAAAAAACAGTGTTGTACTATAAAAATATTAGTAATAGCTGCAGATCATTTTGTGCAAGAATCTTCCAAAACAGTTTCCCAAAAACAGCATTTGATGACTTTGGCCCTTTGAGAACCATGCTGCTGAATTATTTTGGCAATATAATTGCAGCGATAATTTTGGATTAGGAAGTATTTGCTTGCCATATATTCTCTGTAATGTTCTCGGTAATGAGAGTGAGTTTTCCGAAGCTAGAGCCACTGTGGCTTCATTGGAAGTGCTTTTCATCAACCCTAACACAATTTTCAAAGCTTTAAATTTATAATTTTTTAAATTACAACCGTAATTTATAATAGATCTTATATAGGCTCGGTAAAAATTCAGTGCAATAGTTTGATCTGCACCCCACAATCTCTTACAAAGTATTTTAAGTTTATTCATACCTTTTTCGCAACGGCTAATTGTCTAGTTAATATCTGGAGTCCAAAGCACTTTTCTGTCAAGTAGTACACCAAGGTATTTGAATTCCGAGACAATTACCCTGCTATGGCATTACCCTGATACAGTGTCATCTTTAATGGGGTGTTTTCTAGAAAAAAATACTACAGCACAAAAATACTACAATATTTTATAGTGAAGGCATTTAACAAAGTTCAGCAATTAAAGTTGTACATTATATATTTTAGTTCAGTAATACATTCGATGTACGTTTTCTTCTGTGAATAGATGACAATGTCATCAGGATATTGTAAACAAGCAATATTGGGAGACCATAAATTGTGCAAATCATATGTGTACAGATTAAAAAGTAGTGGACCTAAAGCAGCTCCGTGTGGAATGTTTTTGGATGTAATTATTGGTCGTATGATATTATGACCTATTCGAATCGACACGTTTGTGTTTTTATATAAATTTGATAGTAAATATGCCATGGATTTTGGAACTCCAAGGAATACAAGGTTATCACACAGAATATTTAAAATCAATATGGTCATAAACACTTTTTATGTTGATAAACAATGCATCTGTTGGCATGGAATAGGAAAAGCCAATTTGAACTTATTAGTACTTATTAATAATTAAGTTCACACCATTACAATATATTTGTGATACCACGCTGTTCACTAAAACGTTTTTTATTCTTTTAACTGACAAGTCACCTTTAACATTGTCAAATACCGGTTCTCACTCTCATGTGGTTCAATAGTTCAAACTTACAAGCTTAGAAAAAATAACAGTCTTCGCAGGTTTATTTTTATGTGCAGACAAATTGATTGTTTCAAGTTAATTTAGAAAAGAGATAGAATAACCTCATTAATTATATTCAAATAATATTCATGACATGTGTTGACATGAACTAATTATTTCTGTAAAGCAAAAGGTATAATTTAATTTAAATTTAAAAATTTTAATTTGGAATTCAATTACACAAAAAAGTTAATAAATTAACTGTTAATACAAAATTTAGAAAATATTGTGCCTTTTTTATTTATGGAATATACGGGAGTATGCAGATATTTTTGAATCGTCAACATAAAAACATAAAACGTACAGTAGTGACTCACTATTATAGAAAAAATAAAATTTAAAAATTAATATATATATATATATATATATATATATATATATATATATATATATATATATTATATTTAAAAGTTGAACAACAATTATTTGAGAACACGAGAAGAAACTACACGAAAGTGATATTTTAACGAAAACGATACTTAACTTGAGAAAATATCACTTGCGTCTCCTGCAAACTTGTCGAGAGAGACTGCTAATCTGCCAATTTCCAAGATTTCTTCTGTCATCCAATCTCCTTTCTTACATCTGGTTGTTGTGAGTTCTCTGCGACTTGGTTCGATAATTGGATTTTTAAAGAATTGCCACTGTTGTTCTACATCACCATAAATTGATTCCGGTGTGGATTCTAGGTTTGCATTAATGTTTTGTTCAAGTTTTTCTTTAACGTCTTCTGATTTTAATTTTTGTATTTTTAGTTTATCACTTTTGTAGCTTTTTTGTATCTTTTTTAAATGAAGTTGGAATTTTGTTACAAGAGGATTGTGGTCCGACGCCACGTCTGCACCTGGGTACGCTATCACTGATTGTATTGCGTTTCGGTATCGGTGGTTTATTAAAATATAGTCAATTTGGTTTCTAACGATTTTATCGATCAGCTGGCGATTTCCAAGTGTAAAGGCGTCGTTTAGGCAGTTTGAAGAAAGTATTAATTACCGCAAGATTATGTTCTAGGCAGAATTCTATTCAAGGCGTTCTCTTCTCTCATTTTGAACACCGAGTCCATATGGTCCTACAGTAGACTCGCATCTTCCTTCTTCAACTTTGGCGTTAAAATCACCCATGACTATTGTTATATCTCTAGATGTTGTATTTTGTAGGGTTTTTCAAGGTAATCGTAAAATTTTTGAATTTTCTCCTCTGTTTTATCGGCGGTTGGCGCATAAATCTGACTAAGGTTTAATTTCCCATGCGTTGTCATCATTTGTATTAGCATAATTCTTTCCGATATTGGTATAAAGCCTACAACTGATTTTGCAACTTTTTTACTGACATTAATTGCTACTCCATACCGATGTTGGCTATCGGTACTACTAGAGTAGAAAAGTAGACCATTGGTAGTACTTATTGCTATTTTAAAAGTTGAATTTTTAATACGCAGGGATTTCGTTGGTTAACGACCTGAGGAGCCCTGTCATCATGTTATTTCTCCCCCTGCCAAATCTTGGCATCCAAGAACCATGATTAGTACGGTGATACTTGTCATTAACTGCCATTACGATTTCTAGGGATACTCTATGAGTCTTTAATGCAGTGGTTCCCCGTTGCCTTCTGCATCCTTATGCCGTTGACCATTCCTTGGTTCATCCGCCTTCAAAATAGATTTCTCTATCTCAGGACAAAAGAGTGCCCTTACATCTACCAGCTCCTCCGTCCTAAACCGTTGGCCAGTATTTGACTTGATTTTATATCCCTAAAAATCGAGGGTTGCCACTTACGCCATAAAGGGACCCCAAACAGGTACTAGTTGCCCGGGTTAGGAAACCCCCGGAATCTGCGGAGGGCAGGGATTGATTAATTTTCCCTGATAGGACTATCTTGAAGAATTTAAAGAGTTACTACCCGACAAATTTTTGGTTTTCTCCAATTGCTTTGGCGCAATACCACATTTCTTTATTACATCTTCGTCCCGTGAATGAGTACTTTCGTCAACTATAAAATAAATCGTGTTATCGGCAACAATTTTTCAAATTTTTCTTATGGTCTCATCGTAGAAAATCTCGATATATTTTTTCCTAAGGTACTTTCATCAGGAATGTTAAATTTACAATATTTTTTTAAAAATGAGGTAAAACTATTGTTCACTTTTGAAATTGGAATTCCCGAAGATAAAAAGGCATCGCAAAGGTCCTGATTAAACATTTGCTGCTCGGTTTTTTGAGTCCCTAAGCACTGCGCCATTGTTAATTGCATTTTTAAATTTTGCCTTTTAAGAGTGTTTTCTCACTTTTTAAGGTGAGATGGTGTCTTTGCATGCTAATTGATTACAAAATTTCTAGCAGAAGAAATCTGAAACAAAAAGCCAAAGTTTATTCACACGTTTTTTTACTGAAACGTGCGTTGACAATGGCTTGCACTTGTCTTCAAATGAAAGAAGTTACTTACAATTTTAGAGCAAACTCTACAAAATACTTTTCCTCCATCCAATTGTAAAAAATGAATTATTAAAATTTTTTTTGAAACTTTATCGGTATGCCATCTCCTGGTAATTGTGTAATTTTTACTTTTTCTTATTTTCTGAAATTTGATATAATTTAGAAAAATCTATTTTACTTCCCCTTTCGAATCAAATAACCTAAACCTACTTATGAAAAAGATTATTATTAAAAAGTTTCTAAAAATGCGTATATAGCATAAAACTGTCGCGGACCCGTGCGCCCAAGTAAAATCTTTATTTACGCTTTAATAAACGAATAAATGTCTGTAATTTGTTTATACATAACGGTATGTAATTTAAAATGCTGTTCGACAAAAAACAGTCCGATGCAGAGGTCTTTAGTTCAAGTTCGCAGTTTTATCGGGTGTTTTGTCCTCTCCGTAGCTTTCTTTCAGAACATGTGCTTGTTAATTATCGTATGATATGTGGTTCTAGTTGTTGATGTTGTTTAGTGTTGCTAAAAACCGGTAGAATCGATTAAAAGTGTGTGATTTTGGTAAATAAAGTGGTCCAGAAGGTAAGTACTATTTAAAATTTTTATATAAAACTTTTATGATCAATTTTAAGTCAATAATTATATTATTTTACATTGTGATAGGATTTCAAGAGATCTATAATAATATGTAAACTTAATATTCATCGAATATATTTGATTAGAATCTGAGGCAAGTTAAATTATTATTCATATAAAAATACATGTATTTTAAGTAACTAATTCAAATAATTTCGCACCAAAATCTATAATTATTTTAGTTTTTATCTGTAAAAGCACCATGTATTTTCATTTTGCATTCATCCTGTTGTCTTTCCTTTCGCTCAAATATCATTTGCAATACCGACGATGATTACTTGCAATGATATTAAAACTTGTATGATTTTCCTTTGGCATTATATACAGGGTGTTTCAAAAAAGGTAACAATGTCTCTAGAAGTAGTATAGTAAAAAAATTAAAAATAATTGGGGTTTGCTTAGTAAAAAATGTTTGTAACGAGTATAATTGCCTGTATCTTCTATCGGCGTTTGTATCTCCGGTTCTTATAAAAGTTTTTCTAGATTGGGTTTTATATTACTTTTATAATTGATTTTCTTTAATCTTATCGATATTGTGGATATAACTGACATACGGCCAGATTCAATATCACACCACATAATACAGCATTATTCCATTTCCATAACGGACGTCAAATAATACTCTTTATTTCTGGTTATCACCGTATGATTTGCACGTTCATAGTCTTGTTTTCGGTAATTGAAATCAGATTTTTGTAATTCTAACATTTTATTTTTGATAAAATTGACATAATTCATAAAATTGATAAAAATGTGTCCTCTGTCGTTGCTTTTACCTAGACCATAGTTTCCTATAATATCTTCAATTCCACCTTTTTCTAATTTTACGTTGAATCATCCATAAAAATATTTATAAATTAAGAATTTCCTTAGCTTACTTTCAGATTTTTCGACACTAACGGCATATCCTTGAATAAAGTTCATATCTCAAGGATTAGATTTTATTTACAATATAGGCACTCTCTCTGTTGGGTAAATGATGTGTCTATGTTTGTAACGTTGCCCGATTTATCATTTTTCTGACATCGTTAGTCTCTTTGATTTTTAAAATATAACACCCCTTATATTCTATCTGTAGTGAACTCTCCACGTTAATACCAGTTCAACCGTATACATTTATGTAGTCAGGATTATCCTAAAAAGATAAATCAAAAGGTAAGAAATGCCAAATCGTCTTAATAATTTTTTTGTTTGTTTCTCTAGAAATTAATATGAATTCATCGATAATTATTTACCTAAGCTCTAAAACACTTGCTGATTTAGTTGTATAAATTCTTCTTTTCAAGTATCCCCAATAATAATAAGCTTTAGGATTCAAATAAGGTGAACGAGGCTATTCAATGCTACCTAATATATCTATCCATCGTTCGGGAAATGTATGCAACATGGAACATGTATGGAACATTTGCACCAAAATGAGTTGGAGTTCCGTCTTGCTGAAACCATATCTCATTAAAATTGGCTCCAACTTGTTTTTCAGGAAAATTTCATTTCTAAGTAGCATTTATCGCTTTTTAAATTTCCTTTTATAAAAAATATCCTAATTTACTGAGTACTCACTATACATGCATTTGATTTTTATTGCCTTTCAGTATGGTTTTTAAGTATATAGCGTAGATTTACCTCAATACAATACTTTAAATTTAGGTGATTTACATTCCAACACAGTGTAAATATTGTTTTCTTCGGAAAAACATATCTTGTTAACGAAGTTATTGAAAATTTTATCGATCAATACCTCACTAAAGTGTAATCTACGGTCGTAGTCATCTTCATTTAATTCTTGAAACAACTAAATTTTGTAGGGTTTAAATGAATTCTTATGTAATACACGCAAGACTGACGAATGAGCTACATCAAATATTTGTGCATCGCTGCGTAAAATCAAAACTCTGCATTAAATCTAAAGTTTTATTCTAATTTGTAACAGTGTAAAATTAATACCAGAGACGCTTAGCCAACCAGACAACAACCTAGACGACTTCCATTTGCGAAAAGAAATGAAGCCGAAGACATCATCAAAGATATGAACAAAAATGGGGTAAGTGAACCATCAAACAGTCCATGGACTTCACCAGTAGTGCTAGTAAAGAAGAAAGATGGTTCAACGCGTTTTTGTATTGATTATCGACAGCTCAATGCGGTAACTAAAATAGATAGTTATCCTTTGCCCAGAATAGACGATACTTTTAATACTCTTTCTGGTTCTCGTTGGTTTGCCACACTCGATCTAAAAAGTGGATATTGGCAAGTAGATATGAAGCCAGCTGATAGGGAAAAAACCGCATTCTCGATAGGATCAGGACTTTGGCAGTTCACAGTTATGCCTTTTGGTTTATGTAACGCCCTTGCCACATTTGAAAAATTTATGGAGGCAGTTTTAAGAGGTCTAACATGGAAAATATGCCTGGTTTATTTGGATGATGGAATTGTTAGAAGATTCTTCGATGAACATGCCAATAACCTGAAAGAAGTCTTTCAACGAAGTCGGGCAGCGAATTGAAGTCAAGTCCGAAGAAATGACACGTGTTTCGACGAGAAGTGAAGTACTTGGGACATATTGTAGCAAGTAATGATGTAACAGCTGATCCTGAAAAATTTGCAGCAATTAAGGATTGGCCAGTACCAAGAGATAAACACGAAATAAGAAGTTTTCTTGGTCTATGGACATATTACCTATGTTTTGTCAAAGGATTTGCCTACATCTCCAAGCCATTAACAAAGTTGACAGAAGAAGGCAAAGAATATATATGGAACGAAGAGTGTCAAAAAGCTTTCGAACAATTACAAATGAGTCTGATGAGTGCACCGATTTTAAGCTACCCTAGACAGGCAGGAAAATTTGTGTTGGACACCGATGCCAGCAACAGTGCAATAGGAGCTGTTCTCTCACAAATCCAAGATAGGCAGGAGAAAGTCATCGCTTACTTTAGCAAAGTCTTGTTGAAATCAGGAAGAAACTATTACCAAGAAACTATTATCTATTAGAAACGTTACTAGGAGAGAATTGCTACGCGTAGTGAAGGCTTTTCAGCTGAGCTGAGCATTTCCATAAATACTTGTATGGCAGAAAGTTTCTTCTTCGCACGGATCACGCTGTTCTAAAATGGCTCCTACAATTCCGTAATCCAGAAGACCAGATAACAAGATGATAGGAACGATTACAAAAATATGATTATGAGATCGAACACAGGGCTATAAGAGTTCATTTAATTGCTGATGCCCTTTCGAGACAGGCGTGCAGTGCAAATTGTAATCACTGTCTTAAATTAGAAGAACGACTTTGCCCCGTGAGACGAACCACCGTCATTAATGATCAATGATAGCCTCAGCAGCTACAAGACGCTCAAGTAGATAATCCATGTCTAAAAAGAGTATTGGATTGGATGCGTCGAAGTGAAAAACCTTCTTGGCAAGACATTGGTGCATGTAGTCCCGGAGTCAAGTGTTACTGGAGCCAATGGAATTGCCTAGTGGTAAAAGATGATGTTCTGTATACAACCTTTGAGAACGATAATGTTACAGAATCTAAGCTTCAGTTGATTGTACCTAAAAGTAAAGTGTCAGTTGCATGACGGTGGATCAGGTGGACACTTTGGTATTACGAACACTCTGCAAAAGGTTCGAGAACGGTTCTATTGGGTGAACTGTAAAGATGATGTAAAAAGATGGATCCGGAAATGCGAACAGTACAATGTTGGTAGTCCTATGGAAAGAGTAGCAATCGACATTGCAGGCCTACTTCCAGAGACGAATGATGAAATTAAATATATCCTGGTAGCCATGGATTATTTTACGAAATGGGCTGAGCCCTATTGCGATACCAAATCAAGAAGCTGCTACCATTGCAGAGGTACTTGTTAAATAATTCTTTAGCCGATTTGGTGTTCCCTTGGAGATGCACTCCGACCAAGGGCGAAACTTCGAGTCAACCCTTTTCCAAAACGTTTATAAATTGATTGGTGTCAATAAGACCAGAACGACACCCTACATCCTCAATCCGACGGAATCGTCGAAAGGATGAACCGAACGATGGGTAAACACCTGTCCAAAGTTGTATCAGAGCATCAAAGAGATTGGGACCAGCAGATTAATTTATTCCTAATGGCCTACCGCTCGGCCGTGAATGAAACTACAGCCAGACTCCAACCTGAAGTGAAGTTCGTTTGCCCTGCGACCTAGAGTTTGACTGCAGACCTTCCGAAGAACATGTTGCAAGCGAAGATTATGTCGACCGCCTAAAGTTAGGAATGAACAACATTCATGAACTTGCCCGACGACATATCCAGTTAGCCAGTGACAGAATGAAAGATCAATGAAGTAGGTGATCTTGTTTGACTTTATAATCCACAACGTCGTTGAGGCGTGTCTCCTAAATTGCAAAGACAATAGGAAGGTTCGTATGAAATTAAAAAGAGAATAAATGACGTAATATACCGTATATTACGTCATATATATACGTAATATATAAATGACGAATTAAGAGGTTGCCGAAAGGCAAACAAAAAGTAGTTCACATAAATCGTCTTGCACATTATGCTGGCTCAAATGAAACAGAAGAAGGCACGAACCCTTCAACATGAGATCAGACATGACCGGCGACCACGCTTTAATGAATTTATGGCAAATTACGCAGAGAGAAAGAGTGCTAGATTCGGCGTGACGACAGAAGTTTAGAGGGTCTTTTTAGTGTTCCGCATAATGTTTCTCTAGCGTACTGTGTTGCACAAGATCTTAGTTGTCGTATCTTGGAACCGACGAGTATTGCGGTTGGGTTGATCGAATAACAAATGAAATAGTTTTACATCGAATGATAAAGAGCACAGAAATAACAAAAACGATAAAAATTTGAAAGTTACAATATTTCGGTCATGTAATGAGCCATTCAGAGAGGTATAACTTTCTACACCTCAAAATACTGGGTAAGATCGCCGGAAGGAGAGGCC